AGCGATATTCTGATCATTTGGAAGAGCGCCATTTCCTTTCAGATTTTCTAGCTATTTGTTTTAACTGGCGGGTTTGGTGGTTATACCAAGGTGCTAGTCTCCTATGTTTTAATAATTTCCTTTTTATAGGAGCGATAGAGTCTAATGTTGATTGTAGTGAGCCTGTAGCACTATCGACAAGATTATCAATTTCAGAGGGACTAAAGTCGTTATAGGAGTCTGTTAAATTCAGACATGGCATTGAATTAAACACTGAAGGAATCTCCTCCTTAAATTTAGCTACGGCACTGTCAGATAGACATCTGCTGTAGGAAGTTTTGCCTAATGGCTTATAATCTAATAGTATGAATTCAAAAGTTATTAAATGATGGTCAGAAAGGAAAGGATGATGTGGGAAGACTATTAAATGTTCAATATCAATGCCATATGATAAAACAAGGTCAAGAGTGTGATTAAAACAATGAGTTGGTTTATTTACACTCTGACAGAAGCCAATTGAGTCTATTAATGATATAAATGCATTACTAAGGCTGTCATTGTCAACATCCACATGAATATTAAAATCACCTACAATAATTACTTTATCTGATTTAAGGACTAAACTTGATAGAAACTCTGAAAATTCAGATATAAAATCAGAGTACGGTCCAGGAGCACGGTACACTATAACAAATAGAACTGGCTGCAGTGTTTTCCAGTTTGGGTGAGAAAGACTAAGAACAAGGCTTTCAAATGAATTATAATTTAGTTTAGGTTTAGGGTCCATTAAAACGCTTGAATCATATATGGCTGCTACTCCACCTCCTCGGCCAAGCTTATAGTTAGGGCTGGATCAGGTGAGTCCTGAACCATCCCTTAGTTATGCTGCTATAGGCCTAGACTATCGGGGGGATTTCCCATGGTGCACTGAGCTCCTCTCTTCCTCTCTCTCTCTTTCTGCACTCATTCATGTCTCATTAATGCATGTTACTAACTTCACTTCTTCCCCGGAGTTCTTGTGCTTTCTCGTCTCGCAGGTTCTTATCAATCCTGGTGGAGCCTCCTGCCATGGTCCTGCTACATTGCCATTGCCAATACTGTTGTTACTGTGCACCTGTCTGTCTGTCTGTCTGTCTGTCTGTCTCTCTCTCTCTCTCTCTCTCACCCCAACTGGTCGAGACAGACGACCACCCACCTAGAGCCGAAGGATCTGTCCTAGGTTTCTGCCTTTTAACAGGCAGTTTTTCCTTGCCCTTGTCGCCAAGTGCTTGCTCATGGTGGTACTGTTGGGTCTCTGTAAATAATGTTATAAAGAGTTTGGTCTAGACCTGCTGTATTTGAAAAGTGTCTTGAGATAACTTCTGTTATGAATTGGCGCTATACAAATAAAATTGAATTGAATTGAATTGAATCGATGCAGCTTTAAAAACTAACAGGATAAGAGCATGAGGTCCTACAAGATTTTACTAGGCTAGACTAGTCTTGGATAATGACTTACCTGTTCCTATGTTTTCCTCTTAAGTCCTCTAATGGAGACCTGACTTCAGTTACCTGTTCTGTGCTGTTCCCTCAGACTGGCTTGAATAACCTTTTCAAAGATAAGTAACTTTAAGTTAAAGGACAATTCCAACGCAAAATGAACCTGGGGTTAATAACACATGTGTACTGAGTTGGCCGTTCTCTGGGATATGTTTTCATGCTAATCAACCGTGACCAGTTTTAGCACAAACCGCTAATGAGCTTATAACGCTAGCCAAACGGGGCACCGAGTAACGTGAAAAGAAATCGCTTTTTATACCACTAACAAGGCTCAAAATAGCACCACACTTACACGGTAGCATAATTAGGGTCCCTATGTATAAACCAAAGCACTGAGAACTTTGTAAGTGTACAGACAGTTTATTAAAAAGATTTGCGTATACAGGCGGGCGCTATCTTGGGAAAAAAGTCAGGGGTTAGGTCATTCATGCAGATCAGTGATCAAGATTTACAGCTGTTGATGTGAACTAAAACAAACGTAATTTGCTCAATATATCAGAAATAATTGCACCGATGTAAAACACAACTTGTCTAGTGTACTTACTCAGTGGATAACTGTCCATCTGGTCCCTCCGGTATGAGTCGCTGCCTCCAATTTATTTTCGGGACATGGAAAAAAGTTTCAAGTACAGCTCTGTTTATCAGAGTGGGAAACTCTTCAGACTGTACAAAACACGGAGCTCCCGCAGCTCTTCGTCTGTATATTCCGGCTCGAAAAGATAAGGACGTCCATCAAACTGAAAGGGTTCCTTGTTGATGTCTTCAAATTCAGTTGAATAATCCGCCATCTCTTTAGTGTGTATCCTGTGGAAGCACTAGTCTCTGTTGCGTTCAGTGCTTTCTTCCGGCAACAACGTTTCCACGGAGATCTGAAGTGAATCTCGCATGAAACGTTGTTGCCGGAAGAAAGCACAGACGAAGAGCTGCGGGAGACCGTGAAAGGGCTATGAGAGAGAGAGAGAGAGAAAGAGAGAGTTACCGGTAGTCAATGCCGCAACACAGCCTCGTACTTAGGGAAACTGGTGGTGTACCTGCGGACATTGTGAAGCTTTGGCCACCGAAGAGGAGTGCCTGTGTTGCACAGAGTGGGACCTGTTGCGTCGCGACACCCAAGAGACGCAGTGTTTTGTACAGTCTGAAGATTTTATGGACAAAGTATCTAATTAAAATCATGCATGTAATAAAAAGTTAACAAACGGAAAACACTAGGCTATATAAAACTTGCCTGTAGGCGACTGTTTGTCAGTTGAAAGACTGACATAAATGTGGGCTTACAAACAGCAAGTCTTTGGCCTCCTTGTTGCACATGGTACTTGAAGGTGTACTTCCTCTTAGGAACCTCAGTGTCAGGCCCACGTGGTCGTCTGCGACTGGCCTTGTGCTAGAAGTAAAAAGACATGAGGTAAAAAGACATTTACCATAGCGTAGCAGGCTAGCCGTCGTGTAGAGCTGTCAAGTTAAGGTCATTAAGTACATGAGTAGGCTTTGGTTAGGAGAATGAATAAGCCATGTGTGTGCCTATTATGGGTACCAAAGCGCTGTGGTCTGTAATGCACTTGGTGGCCTACTGACTGCCCATCATCCTTTATCTATCCTCACAAAATTTAACATTTAGTGATCACGCACATGTGCAGTCTTAGTGAATTGAAGGCATACAGTAGATACAGTAGCATACAGTAATTTAACATGTAGTGACAAATTGCAAGGGTAGATACATTTCCTGCATTATAGCCTAGCCCACACCTAAAGACGTAGGCTATATCAATTCACTGGTTATTTCATGGGCCTATATTGGGTTGCATTGCATACTGTTGACATGATATGGTCATGAATTGCTTAAGTTAGCCTACCTGCTCCAAACCAGAAAGAATGATAGCCTGCTGCCTCTCGTAAGAGACAACATAAAACTCTGTGAAGAGCTGGAGTTTTCCTTGGTCTGTTAGGCTTGAGCACTGCCCGGGACATGTCTCTTTGCACACCTTGCCCTTAACAGAAACAAAGTCACATTAACGTTTTTAGCTATAAAACACTTTGGATTTATTAGCAGGCTTATTAAGGTTACTAACTAGAATATATAACAGCTTACACAATCAATGAATGGTAATTATAACGTAAGCGTACGTGACGCAGCTGGGCTGGCATTAGGGACATCAAACCATAGACAGTAAAAGATAGCATCAAACGCACCTAAAACATTTCGATTCATTTCTCCGTGGTTATAAGGAGTAGAGACATGCTTAAAACATCCCCTGAATCCTCATTTTCTCAGCTTTCATTTCTCATTCATGACTCGATCTGCTAAACAGTCTGAGCTGTATTAACTGTAACGTTAGACGCCCAGTAATATGACCCCTGACTGTAACCAGCTAACGTTACAAAGTAACAGCTAACATTATCCCGCTAGCTAATGTTAGGTAACGTTACATCAAACGAACCTAAACGTTTCGATTAATTTCTCCGTGGTTATACGGCGTATCACTTAAGCTTTAATTTCGACCCATTCATGACTTAAAACCATTAAACAGACTAAGCTTTATGAACTGTAACGTTAGTAGATGTCCAGTACACGCCCCTCTGACTGTAACCACTAAGGTTAGGCAACGTTAGATAAGTTACTTTGTAAATATACGGTTCTTCCACTCACCTCTTTGGTGGACTTTTCCCTCCTTTTAGCTCTCCTCTCCAGTTCACATATGGTTTCCCAGCATCCCTCAAAGACTTCCTTGCTCTGTCCTTCCATTCATTCATGTTTGCTCTCCTTTTTTTGCCGAGGTTTTGCCTATTAATGTCTGCAGCGGACATGAAAGCAACCGGCGTCTCCATTTTTCGTTAGTGGACATAAATGGTTTTTCCACGTGAGACTATTTCAAAGTTTAACATACAGAGTATTGGTCGCGCGTACAGCCCCCCAAATTGCTTCTGTATACAAAGTGGCACACATACATTCATGTCACATGGTTATCTCATTTTTGAAATTTTTTTACTTATACGGTTGTTCGTCGCATGGACTCAATTAATATTTAATTAACTCTTAATCAACATTGTATTAACAATTAAAATTCATTTACTAACACCTTAATAAACACCTTCAACAACAGGTAAGAACTTCTTTACACATTTAAATAACTCTTTAAGAGGAAGAACCCTTAATTAAATGGTAAATTGACTGTACTTATACACACATATAATTCTTTACCAGTCCTTCTAACCTCTCATAGCACTGGACACTACATTCCACATTCACCCTTTCACACATTCACCCTTTCACACACACATTTCCCCTTTAGCACATTCACCCTTTCACACACATATTCACCCTTTAGCACATTCACCCTTTCACACACATATTCACCCTTTAGCACATTCACCCTTTCACACACATATTCACCCTTTCACACACACACATTCAGTATTTTGCTCAACGATACTTGCACATGCAGCTGGAGCCGGGGATTGAACCGCCAACCTTCTGATTTCTGCAGGTCATCTGTTGTCATTGGAGCTCCCAAAGCCAACACCAACCAATCAGGAGTGAGGGAGGGAGGGGGCGTGTTCCTCTGCCCCTGGTCACCAGGAGGCGGGGCCTGTGACATTATCAACTTTGACCTGGAAGGTGAGTTTCCTGATCGATCGTTGGGCATCTGAGTATCTGTCTGACTGTTGTTGCTGTCTGACTCTTGTACCTGTCTTACTGTTGTTGCTGTCTGACTCTTGTACCTGCCTGACTGTTGTTCCTGTCTTACTGTCATACCTGTCACAGGTGATGAGGTCTACAGCAGCTCTGATTTATCCTTTCACTCCTTCAAGAGTCAGCAGTGGCTGGGAGCTTCAGTGCGATCAGTTAGTGACACACACATACTGGTAAGAACAATTCAATTCAATTCAATTCAATTTTATTTGTATAGTGCCAATTCATAACAGAAGTTATCTCAGGACACTTTTCAAATAGAGCAGGTCTAGACCGAACTCTTTATAACATTATTTACAGAGACCCAACAGTACCACCACGAGCAAGCACGTGGCGACAAGGGCAAGGAAAAACTGCCTGTTAAAAGGCAGAAACCTAGGACAGATCCTTCGGCTCTAGAGAGAGAGCGAGAGAGAGAGAGACAGACAGAAAGAGACAGAGCGAGAGAGACAGACAGATGCACAGCAACAACAGTATTGGCAATGGCAATCTAGCAGGACCATGGCAGGAGGCTCCACCAGGATCAATAAGAACCTGCGAGACGAGAAAGCACAAGAACTCCGGGGAAGAAGTGGAGTTAGTAACATGCATTAATGGGACATGAATGAGTGCAGAAAGAGAGAGGAAGAGAGGAGCTCAGTGCACCATGGGAAATCTCCCCGATAGTCTAGGCCTATAGCAGCATAACTAAGGGATGGTTCAGGACTCACCTGATCCAGCCCTAACTATAAGCTTTATCAAAGAGGAATGTCTTAAGCCTACTCTTAGATGTGGTGAGGGTGTCTGCCTCCCGAACCACAACTGGAAGCTGGTTCCACAGGAGAGGAGCTTGGTAACTGAAGGCTCTGGCTCCTGTTCTACTTTTAGAGACTATAGGAACCACAAGTAGCCCAGCATTCAGAGAACGTAGTGTTCTAGTGGGGTAATAGGGTACTATGAGCTCTTTAAGATATGAAGGGGCCTGACCATGAAGAGCTTTATAGGTGAGGAGGAGGATTTTAAATTATATTCTACATTTTACGGGGAGCCAGTGCAGAGAAGCTAGTACAGGAGAGATGTGATCTCTTTTTCTAGTTCCTGTCAGTACTTATGCTGCAGCATTTTGAATTAATTGGAGCGTTTTAATGGACTTATTGGGGCAGCCTGATAATAAAGAGTTGCAGTAATCCGGCCTTGAAGTAACAAATGCATGGATTAGTTTTTCTGCATCTGTCTGTGATAGGATGTGTCTAATTTTTGTAATATTACGTAAATGAAAGAAGGCAGTCCTAGAGGTCTGCTTCATGTGGGAGTTAAAAGACAAATCCTGATCAAAGATAACTCCAAGATTCCTGACAGTGGTGCTAGAGGCCAAGTTAATGCCATCTAGAGTAACTATATCTTTAGACAGTGAGTCTCTAAGGTTTTTGGGGCTAAGAACAAGAATTTCGTTTTTTTCTGAGTTTAACATCAGAAAATTGCAGGTCATCCAGGATTTTATGTCCGTAAGACATGTTTGTAATTTAGATAATTGATTAATTTCATTGGGTTTGATTGATAGATATAACTGCGTATCATCTGCATAACAGTGAAAGTTAATGGAGTGATTCCTAATAATGTTGCCTAAAGGGAGCATGTATAAAGTAAATAGTATTGGTCCAAGTACAGAACCTTGTGGAACTCCATGACTAACTGTAGTATTTATTGAAGATTCATCGTTAATATGTACAAACTGCGAGCGATCTGATAAATATGACTTAAACCAGCTTAGTGCGGTTCCTTTAATGCCAATTTGATGCTCAAGTCTCTCTAAAAGAATATTATGGTCAATGGTGTGAAATGCAGCACTAAGATCTAATAATACAAGTACAGAGACAAGTCCATTGTCAGAAGCAGTCAGAAGGTCATTATTAACTTTAACCAGAGCTGTCTCTGTGCTATGATGAACTCTAAATCCTGACTGAAAATCCTCAAATAAACTATTGTTGTGTAGAAATTCACACAACTCTTTGGCGACTACTTTCTCCAGAATCTTAGAGAGGAAGGGGAGGTTAGAAATCGGTCTATAGTTGGCTAAAACCCCTGGGTCAAGAGTGGACTTTTTAAGAAGGGGTTTAATTACAGCTACTTTAAAGGACTGTGGTACATATCCTGATAATAAAGAAAGATTAATCATATCCAGTAAAGAAGTGCCAATTAAGGGGACAACTTCTTTAAGCAGCCTAGTTGGGATCGGGTCTAATAGACAGGTTGATGGCTTCGATGAAGAAATGATTGAAGTTAACTGATGAAGATCGATAGCAGAAAAACAGTCTAAATATATATCTAAGTTTACATTGACAGAAGTCCCTGAACTTGGAGAGCCACTGATAATTGTTGATGGCAGTTGGTGATTAATTTTTTCTCTACTAGTAATAATTTTATTATAGAAGAAGCTCATGAAGTCATTGCTACTTAAGTTTATGGGGATATGTGGCTCAATAGAGCTGTGACTCTCTGTCAGCCTGGCTACAGTGCTGAAGAGGAACCTAGGGTTATTCTTATTTTCTTCTATTAGTGCTGAGTAATAGGCTCCTCTGGCATTACGGAGGGCCTTTCTATAAATTTTAAGATTATCTTGCCAATTTGAGCGATATTCTGATAATTTGGAAGAGCGCCATTTCCTTTCAGATTTCCTAGCTATTTGTTTTAACTGCCGGGTTTGGTGGTTATACCAAGGTGCTAGTCTCCTATGTTTTAATAATTTCCTTTTTATAGGAGCGATAGAATCTAATGTTAATCGTAGTTAGCCTGTAGCACTATCGACAAGATTATCAATTTCAGAGGGACTAAAGTCGTTATAGGACTGAAGGAATCTCCTCCTTAAATTTAGCTACAGCACTGTCATATGACATCTGCTGTAGGAAGTTTTGCCTAATGGTTTATAATCTAATAGTATGAATTCAAAAGTTATTAAATAATGGTCAGAAAGGAAAGGATGATGTGGGAAGACTATTAAATGTTCAATATCAATGCCATATGATAAAACAAGATCAAGAGTGTGATTAAAACAATGAGTTGGTTTATTTACACTCTGACAGAAGCCAATTGAGTCTATTAATGATATAAATGCATTACTAAGGCTGTCATTGTCAACATCCACATGAATATTAAAATCACCTACAATAATTACTTTATCTGATTTAAGGACTAAACTTGATAGAAACTCTGAAAATTCAGATATAAAATCAGAGTACGGTCCAGGAGCGCGGTACACTATAACAAATAGAACTGGCTGCAGTGTTTTCCAGTTTGGGTGAGAAAGACTAAGAACAAGGCTTTCAAATGAATTATAATTTTAGTTCGTCCAGTCCAGTTTATTGTTAATTATAATAATAATTTTGGACATGCCACTTTTTGTTCAAATGTAAATAAAAGCTGAGAAATAATGTTTTCCACAATGATGCCTCTTGTATATCGTCTCATTATCTTCTGGGAGACGCCTGTGTCATTTCCAATGAAGAAAAAAGTTGCTGGTTCAATAAAAGTAACTTTAAGTCAATTTGCTAGGGTTATGAATAATTTCGGGCTTGACTGTAGGTGTCCACCATCTCTCCCCCTTATAGCAATTATTATTGTTGTTATTATATTTATGTTATAATCATCTGAAGAACAAAATGTGTATTTAAAAAAAGTCGATTTATTTACTACATTAAATTGACATAATTTCATTCATCAATATTAATAAAGCACAATGTTCAAAAACTTTCTTTTCAACAATAATATTTTATATAATAAAAAACAAAAACCCAATAAACAGTGTTAGTGAGTTAATAACTTTTACACTCGAAGTAAAAAACGAACAAACAAAACAGTCAGGTTACAGGTGTTTATTTATTCCAGTAAGTCCATAAATCACCAATAATTCCTCTTACTGCCTTCTTGCTTGTGATCAATATTATCTACCAATCAGTAACGCTTACTCGATCTTTTGTATTTCCAGGGTTCATAACTTTGTGTTCTTTAATGTACATTTCAGTATTTTTACTGAACATGAAACTGTTTGTTTATCAACACAAATCCCTTATTTCATATTGATGATTTAACTGATTTGATCAATAACTGAACACTGAAATTGTTTCCTATGAACATTTTATTATTCATATTCAATATTAAAATAATGTACTTTAATATCCACAGTTTTGTGTTCATTAGTGTTTAATCAGCTGATCATAAGAATCATTGTGTGTTTGTTAGAATGAGACGTTTTTATCTACAGAGGGAGCGGGTCCTCTCTGGTAGAGTCCGCCATGTTGAACCGCCATGTTTCTACGGTAGCCCAGAACGGACAAACGCTGGCTGTAGACAGGGAAATGATCTGTATTCAGTTGGTTGTAATCAGAGAGTTAACAGACTGTGTACCTGTCAGGCGTGTGCGCCACTTTTTCACTGGAACGTTCAGAAGCGAGGGGCGGAGTCAGGGAAAACACCTGTGGGAAACTGCCTCCTATTGGACCAGAGGACAGGAAGCTCCGCCTCCTTCTCCCCCTGCAGAGGGATCATGATGGAGGACGACTACAAACGCATGAACAACAGTAAGAACCAGAGTCCAGACCACCTTCAAGACCAGGTCTGGGTCTCTAGAGGGAGTCTACAGCGAGAACCTGAACACAGAAATACTGAGTCTGAACTCTCTCTCGTTGCCTAGGAAACGACCAGCGCTACTGTGAGGTCGGCTTCAGTGCTGACATCACCAAGGTGAGTTGGTGGTGGGCAGGGTCACTTCTGTGGAAGCTAGCTAAGGCTAACTGAGGCTAGCTAAGGCTAACTGAGGCTAGCTGAAGCTAGCTAACGCTAACTGAGGCTAGCTGAGGATCCATTAATTACACTGAATAATCGGTCATGTTGCGGCCATGTTTGTTTGTTTAGGAGGGTCGGCTGCTGCTCGGAGCTCCAGGAAGTTTTTATTTCCAGGGTGAGTGGAGACACCTGCTGGCCACTGATGAGTATTACAGCATCTGATTAACAACAGGAACCCTCTATAGCATTATCTATAGCATTAGCTATAGCATTAGCTCTAGCACTAGCCCCAGCTTTAGCTGTAGCATTAATATTGATGTGTTCTCTGATAGATAGATATATACTTTATTAATCCTCTATTGGGGAAATTCTTTTTTTCACTTTTATTCTTACACACACACACACACGCTGAAATACCAATAAACAATTCTGATTCTGGTTCTGGTTCTGATTCTAATAATTGCTGGCACTATATCCTGTATACTGTAAGCAGCAGTATTATTAAAGTAGCCCAAAGATGTGAGGTGCACCTGAATGCATCATGTGGCTCTATTGTTGCGACTGAATTAATTAAATGAATGTTGATGTTTACTGCTGACATCACTGCTGACATCACCGCTGACATCACCACCATGTTGATTTCAGGTCAGGTCATCACAGTGGGTGTGAGTGACATCATCAACAGTGGGCGGAGCGACGATCCTCTCCGTTATGTAGCTGGAATCAGCCAATCCGATGAGAGGGGGGCTTACGACCTTTACCGTGGTGAGCAGGTTTTTTTTATTTAGCCTCATCTCTGGTGGCCGAGAGGTGAATGAACTCAATACCCAGAATGCTTTGCAAATCCTAAAAAAATAACCACATTATTATTGTTTGTGTTCTTGGACACCATTCACCCACCATGTTTATCTGACCTGAGCACAACCACAGTTCATTGACCTCTGCTAACTGCTAACATTAGCATATTACTGTGTCTGTCTGTCAGGTTACTCAGTGGCCAGTGGTCAGCTGACTGGAGACTCCACACCAGGTTTTGTTTTATAATCCATCAATATGATTGATCGATTGATTATCTCAATCTTTTTAATCAACCAGTAGCTACTGATCAACAGCAACTAAAAGTATTATTGTCTGTTTCACATTCTGGTCTGATTGTTTCTCAGATTATCTGGTGGGTGTTCCCAACGACAGAAACACAGCAGGAACAGTAAGACCTGTCGTACTGTAGTCTTTACCTGTTGTACTGTAATCTTTACCTGTCGTACTGTAGTCTTTACCTGTCGTACTCTATAAGGATTGTAATCTTTACCTTTCGTACTATAGTCTTTACCTGTCGTACTCTATATGGACTGTAGACTTTACCTGTCGTACTCTATATGGACTGTAGTCTTTACCTGTCGTACTCTATATGGACTGTAGTCTTTACCTGTCGTACTCTATAAGGACTGTAGACTTTACCTGTAGTACTGTATATGGACTGTAGACTTTACCTGTCGTACTCTATAAGGACTGTAGACTTTACCTGTCGTACTCTATATGGACTGTAGTCTTTTCCTGTCGTACTCTATAAGGACTGTAGACTTTACCTGTCGTACTCTATATGGACTGTAGACTTTAACTGTCGTACTCTATAAGGACTGTAGACTTTACCTGTCGTACTCTATATGGACTGTAGACTTTAACTGTCATACTCTATATTTCAATTCAATTCAATTCAATTTTATTTGTATAGCGCCAATTCATAACAGAAGTTATCTCAGGACACTTTTCATATAGAGCAGGTCTAGACCGAACTCTTTAACATTAATTACAGAGACCCAACAATACCACCATGAGCAAGCACTTGGCGACAAGGGCAAGGAAAAACTGCCTGTTAAAAGGCAGAAACCTAGGACAGATCCTCCGGCTCTAGGTGGGTGGTCGTCTGACTCGACCAGTTGGGGTGAGAGAGAGAGAGAGAGAGAGAGAGAGAGAGAGAGAGAGAGAGGCAGAGAGAGAGAGAGCGAGAGGGAGAGGCAGAGAGAGCAAGAGACAGTATTGGCAATGGCAGTCAAGCAGGACAATGGCAGGAGGCTCCACCAGGATCCATGAGAACCTGCGAGACGAGAAAGCACAAGAACTCCGGGGAAGAAGTGGAGTTAGTAACATGCATTAATGGGACATGAATGAGTGCATAAAGAGAGAGGAAGAGAGGAGCTCAGTGCACCATGGGAAATCCCCCGATAGTCTAGGCCTATAGCAGCATAACTAAGGGATGGTTCAGGACTCACCTGATCCAGCCCTAACTATAAGCTTTATCAAAGAGGAATGTCTTAAGCCTACTCTTGAATGTGGTGAGGGTGTCTGCCTCCCGAACCACAACTGGAAGCTGGTTCCACAGGAGAGGAGCTTGGTAACTGAAGGCTCTGGCTCCTGTTCTACTTTTAGAGACTATAGGAACCACAAGTAGCCCAGCATTCAGAGAACGTAGTGTTCTAGTGGGGTAATAGGGTACTATGAGCTCTTTAAGATATGAAGGGGCCTGACCATGAAGAGCTTTATAGGTGAGGAGGAGGATTTTAAATTCAATTCTACATTTTACAGGGAGCCAATGCAGAGTAGCTAGTACAGGAAAGATGTGATCTCTTTTTCTAGTTCCTGTCAGTACTCGTGCTGCAGCGTTCTGAATTAATTGGAGCGTTTTAATGGACTTATTGGGGCAACCTGATAATAAAGAGTTGCAGTAATCCAGCCTTGAAGTAACAAATGCATGGATTAGTTTTTCTGCATCTGTCTGTGATAGTATGTGTCTAATTTTTCTAATATTACGTAAATGAAAGAAGGCAGTCCTAGAGGTCTGCTTTATGTGGGAGTTAAATGACAAATCCTGATCAAAGATAACTCCAAGATTCCTGACAGGGGTGCTAGAGGCCAAGTTAATGCCATCTAGAGTGACTATATCTTTAGACAATGAGTCTCTAAGGTTTTTGGGGCCAAGAACAAGAATTTCGTTTTTTTCTGAGTTTAACATCAGAAAATTGCAGGTCATCCAGGATTTTATGTCCGTAAGACATGTTTGTAATTTAGATAATTGATTAATTTCATTGGGTTTGATTGATAGATATAACTGCGTATCATCTGTATAACAGTGAAAGTTAATGGAGTGATTCCTAATAATGTTGCCTAAAGGGAGCATGTATAAAGTAAATAGTATTGGTCCAAGTACAGAACCTTGTGGAACTCCATGACTAACTGTAGTATTTATTGAAGATTCATTGTTAACATGTACAAACTGCGAGCGATCTGATAAATATGACTTAAAGCAGCTTAGTGCGGTTCCTTTAATGCCAATTTGATGCTCAAGTCTCCCCAAAAGAATATTATGGTCAATGGTGTCAAATGCAGCACTAAGATCTAATAATACAAGTACAGAGACAAGTCCATTGTCAGAAGCAGTCAGAAGGTCATTATTAACTTGAACCAGAGCTGTCTCTGTGCTATGATGAACTCTAAATCCTGACTGAAAATCCTCAAATAAACTATTGTTATGTAGAAAGTCACACAACTCTTTGGCGACTACTTTCTCCAGAATCTTAGAGAGGAAGGGGAGGTTAGAAATCGGTCTATAGTTGGCTAAAACCCCTGGGTCAAGAGTGGACTTTTTAAGAAGGGGTTTAATTACAGCTACTTTAAAGGACTGTGGTACATATCCTGATAATAAAGAAAGATTAATCATATCCAGTAAAGAAGTGCCAATTAAGGGAACAACTTCTTTAAGCAGCCTAGTTGGGATCGGGTCTAATAGACAGGTTGATGGCTTCGATGAAGAAATGATTGAAGTTAACTGATGAAGATCGATAGCAGAAAAACAGTCTAAATATATATCTAAGTTTACATTGACAGAAGTCCCTGAACTTGGAGAGCCACTGATAACTGTTGATGGCAGTTGGTGATTAATTTTCTCTCTAATAGTAATAATTTTATTATAGAAGAAGCTCATGAAGTCATTGCTACTTAAGTTTATGGGGATATGTGGCTCAATAGAGGTGTGACTCTCTGTCAGCCTGGCTACAGTGCTGAAGAGGAACCTAGGGTTGTTCTTATTTTCTTCAATTAGTGCTGAGTAATAGGCTCCTCTGGCATTACGGAGGGCCTTTCTATACATTTTAAGATTATCTTGCCAAATTGAGCGATATTCTGATAATTTGGAAGAGCGCCATTTCCTTTCAGATTTCCTAGCTATTTGTTTTAACTGGCGGGTTTGGTGGTTATACCAAGGTGCTAGTCTCCTATGTTTTAATAATTTCCTTTTTATAGGAGCGATAGAGTCTAATGTTGATCGTAGTGAGCCTGTAGCACTATCGACAAGATTATCAATTTCAGAGGGACTAAAGTCGTTATAGGAGTCTGTTAAATTCAGACATGGCATTGAATTAAACACTGAAGGAATCTCCTCCTTAAATTTAGCTACAGCACCGTCAGATAGACATCTGCTGTAGGAAGTTTTGCCTAATGGCTTATAATCTAACAACATGAATTCAAAAGTTATTAAATAATGGTCAGATAGGAAAGGATTATGTGGGAAGACTATTAAATGTTCAATATCAATGCCATATGATAGAACAAGGTCAAGAGTGTGATTAAAACAATGAGTTGGTTTATTTACACTCTGACAGAAGCCAATTGAGTCTATTAATGATATAAATGCATTACTAATGCTGTCATTGTTAACATCCACATGAATATTAAAATCACCTACAATAATTACTATGGACTGTAGACTTTACCTGTCGTACTCTATATGGACTGTAGACTTTAACTGTCGTACTCTATAAGGACTGTAGACTTTACCTGTCGTACTCTATATGGACTGCAGATGGTGGACCTGTTATCCACCTGTGTGTGTTCCAGGTGAAGGTCTATGATGGGCGTAACAGTGGGTCTCTGAGGGTCTACCACACCTTCCAGGGAGCTCAGGTGAGAGTTTGACATCATCAGAATGTGGATCTACCTGCTGGTGAAACAATGTGTGCAGCTGTGTTTGTCCTGTAGGTGGCGTCGTACTTTGGACACAGTGTGGCTGTAGTTGATGTCAACAGTGATGGGTGAGAGCAGACAGTGGGTCAGGGTTGGTCTCAGTGGAACCAATCAGAACTCTTCATTGTTTGTTTGTTTGTTTGTGCAGTTTAGATGACGTGTTGATCGGAGCTCCTCTCTTCATGGACAGAGTGACGGAGCAGCTGCAGGAGAGAGGACAGGTCTGATAATATCTTCTTCTTCCCTGTCTGAACCGGACTGAACCAGACTGATCTAGACTGATCTGGACTGAACCGAACTGAAACGAACTGAACCGGACTGATCTAGACTGATCTGGACTGAACCGAACTGAAACGAACTGAACCGGACTGATCTAGACTGATCTGGACTGAACCGAACTGAACCAGACTGATACGGACTAAACCAGACTGAACCGGACTGAACCAGACTGAACCAGACTGATCCAGACTGAACCAGACAGTATTTCCCATCATTTTTTTAAATTGTGTGATGATGTCATTGTTTATTATGTTTCAGGTGGTTTTGTACCTGCAGAGACGACACTCCTTATTCTCCTCCCAACCTGACCAATCACTGATCGGCTTCTCTCTGTACGGCCGGTTTGGCTCCGCCCTTGCCGTGCTGGGTGACTTGGACATGGACGGTTACCATGGTAACCAGTTAAACACAGTATGAATGTAGAACTGCTGGCTTTAGCTTTAGCTCCAACAGTTAGCAAGACACTGAACCCAGAACTCCTGTACCTTAACAGCTCCACCAGCATTAACGATAATGCTAATGCTAATGACCACAGCTAACTGGAACGATCTCTCTCCAGATGTGGCCGTCGGGGCTCCCTGGTCAGGTGACCGTGGGCAGGGCCAGGTGTTTATCTACCTGGGCAACAGTTACGGGTTGTCAGCCACGCCCTCCCAGGTGATTGACAGCCCGTTGCCTAGCAGCAGGACAGCGTTTGGCTTTACTCTGAGAGGTGGTGCTGACGTTGATGGGAACGGATACCCGGGTAAGTTCAGAAGTTACTCATTAGTTACAGATGAATAATCAGCAATCAATAATCAATGTGAGGTGTGTGTGTTTGTAGACCTGCTGGTTGGAGCGTGGGCTGCAGACCGAGTGTTTGTCTACAGGTAGGAGGTCATAGATCAAATGTATACAGTGAGTGTAATATACAGTAATATAATTTTATATTGTATTATATTAAAGTACAGTAATAAGGACTGTATGTCGTCATTGGTAAAGCAACTAGTAACTGTAACTAATTATTACATTTCAGTATCTTGACAGACTGATAACAGATCAGACTGAGTTTAGTTTTTAGAAAAAGCCTTTCCTTTTTATTCAATATCCAAACTTACATATTGTTCTGTTACTTTATTGTTAGAGTTTAAATTTCACAGTTCAGCACGAACCATAATTGGTACTAGTCTGTTTCTGCGGTCCGTGTATGTTTTGGTCATTGGATTTTCCTTTCAGAAACGGGTATTAAAAAACAGAAAACGAGTGGTTATTTGATTTTCGTTTTAAAATACAAAAATTAAAATTGAAATACAAGGCGTTTTTCTTTTTCGTGGTCAGAAAGGGATGAGCGAAATTTAAAAAATGATTAGATTTTCATTTTCTATTTCATATAACAAAAAATAAAATCACTAGAAAACAGAAACGGAAAAAAGGCCTGTTTTTTCATATTCTGAGACCGGATGTTGTCATTTACAGGACAGTGCTGTGGAGAAGAAACAGTAGGCTAGTAGACTGCGGTCAATCCAGCCGTGAGTTCGATCTCCGTGGTCAAATCAGCCGCACTTAAATTTCGAGTGTACAAGTATTCTCAGCATTATGGTAAATGCGGAGAAACGCCGTATTTACTTCTGGTTTTCAAAATAAAGGTATTTAGAGCCGTAAGCTATAATTAAAATATGTTACATTAAAGTGTTTCATGCGCCCCTGATGAATAAAAAACACTTTATATCAAGTATACTGCACCAGTGTGAAGAAATGCCAAAATAAAAGCCTCATATTTATGCCTCCAGAGATTGCATATTTGACCATATTTGAGGTACTGTAAAAACATATTGCTCAGTGTTTCCTGGCTACTGACTTTTACACATATGAGACTACAAGCATACTTAATATCAAGCATTTTTACTGTACCAATTTGGAGAAATTCAACAATAAAAGTCCCATATTTGTACCTCCAAGTGGTATTTTCATATATTTGAGCTACTGTAAAAACATATTGCTCAATAATTCCTGGCTATGGATGGTATATTTGACTTCTGCACATCTAAGACTACAAGTATACTTAATACCAAGCATTTTTACAGCACCAATTTGGAGAAATTTAAGAATAAAAGTCCCATATTTATGCCTCCAGATTCCATATTTTCTCATATTTGAGCTACTGTAAAAACATATTGCTCAATATTTCCAGGCTATGGGTGAAGCATTTTCATTATACTTCAATAATGATGCAGTAATCATGACAAAATTTTACACAAATGTTTAATAACATTTTATAAAAAAATTATAATATAAAGACTAAACACTAAACACAAAATCCTACACAATTCTAACTTGTTTACTTTTACAAAAATGCAATGCCAGTCCACATGCTTCTTATTTTGCAGCTCTGCTGTGTCCATTTGTAGGCACTGTATGTGGAACCACCTGCAACAGCTGTCACACTGAATCTGTAAAAGGGAAAAATAATTAGTTTTAACTTCAAAACACCATTGTACCTACTGTCTCTTCCTCATATATTATTTTTCCCTTTTACAGATTCGCGTGACAGCTGTTGCAGTTGGTTCCACATACAGTGGAACCACCTTTTATTCTTAAATTTCTCCACATTGGTGCAGTAGAAATGCTTGATATTAAGTATACTTGTAGTCTTAGATGTGTAGAAGTAAGATATACCATCCATAGCCAGGAATTATTGAGCAAAGTGTTTTTACAGTAGCTCAAATATATGAAAATACCACTTGGAGGTACAAATATGGACTTTTATTGTTGAATTTCTCCAAATTGGTACAGTAAAAATGCTTGATATTAAGTATGCTTGTAGTCTCATATGTGTAAAAGTCAGTAGCCAGGAAACACTGAGCAATATTAACTTTCACTGTTATGCAGATGATACGCAGTTATATCTATCAATCAAACCCAATGAAATTAATCAATTATCTGGATTACAGACTTGTCTTAAGGACATAAAATCCTGGATGACCTGCAATTTTCTGATGTTAAACTCAGAAAAAAACGAAATTCTTGTTCTTGGCCCCAAAAACCTTAGAGACTCATTGTCTAAAGATATAGTCACTCTAGATGGCATTAACTTGGCCTCTAGCACCACTGTCAGGAATCTTGGAGTTATCTTTGATCAGGATTTGTCATTTAACTCCCACATAAAGCAGACCTCTAGGACTGCCTTCTTTCATTTACGTAATATTAGAAAAATTAGACACATACTATAACAGACAGATGCAGAAAAATTAATCCATGCATTTGTTACTTCAAGGCTGGATTACTGCAACTCTTTATTATCAGGTTGCCCCAATAAGTCCATTAAATGCTCCAATTAATTCAGAACGCTGCAGCACGAGTACTGACAGGAACTAGAAAAAGAGATCACATCTCTCCTGTACTAGCTACTCTGCATTGGCTCCCTATAAAATGTAGAATAGAATTTAAAACCCTCCTCCTCACCTATAAAGCTCTTCATGGTCAGGCCCCTTCATATCTTAAAGAGCTCATAGTACCCTATTACCCCTCTAGAACACTACGTTCTCTGAATGCTGGGCTACTTGTGGTTCCTATAGTCTCTAAAAGTAGAACAGGAGCCAGAGCCTTCAGTTACCAAGCTCCTCTCCTGTGGAACCAGCTTCCAGTTGTGGTTCGGGAGGCAGACACCCTCTCCACATCCAAGAGTAGGCTTAAGACATTCCTCTTTGATAAAGCTTATAGTTAGGGCTGGATCAGGTGAGTCCTGAACCATCCCTTAGTTATGCTGCTATAGGCCTAGACTATCGGGGGATTTCCCATGGTGCACTGAGCTCCTCTCTTCCTCTCTCTTTCTGCACTCATTCATGTCCCATTAATGCATGTTACTAACTCCACTTCTTCCCCGGAGTTCTTGTGCTTTCTCGTCTCGCAGGTTCTCATGGATCCTGGTGGAGCCTCCTGCCATGGTCCTGCTTGACTGCCATTGCCAATACTGTTGTTGCTGTGCACCTGTCTGTCTGTCTGTCGCTCTCTCTCTCTCTCTCTCTCTCTCTCTCTCACCCCAACTGGTCGAGACAGACGACCACCCACCTAGAGCCGGAGGATCTGTCCTAGGTTTCTGCCTTTTAACAGGCAGTTTTTCCTTGCCCTTGTCGCCAAGTGCTTGCTCATGGTGGTACTGTTGGGTCTCTGTAATTAATGTTAAAGAGTTCGGTCTAGACCTGCTCTATTTGAAAAGTGTCCTGAGATAACTTCTGTTATGAATTGGCGCTATACAAATAAAATTGAATTGAATTGAATTGAATTGAATATGTTTTTACAGTACCTCAAATATGGTCAAATATGCAATCTCTGGAGGCATAAATATGGGACTTACTTATACTTGATATAAAGTGTTTTTTATTCATCAGGGGCGCATAAAACACTTTAATGTAACATATTTTATTTAAAATGTAATGTTAGGTTCGAATTCTAGCTTACTGTTCTAAATACCTTTATTTTGAAAACCAGAAGTAACTACGCTGTTTCTCCGCATTTACCATAATGCTGAGAATACTTGTACACTCGAAATTTAAGTGCGGCTGATTTGACCACAGAGATCGAACTCATGGCTGGATTGACTGCAGTCTACTAGTCTACTGTTTCTTCTACACAGCACCGTCCTGTAAATGACAACATCCGGTCTCAGAATATGAAAAAACAGGCCTTTTTTCCGTTTCTGTTTTCTAGTGATTTTATTTTTTGTTATATGAAATAGAAAATTAAAATCGAATCATTTTTTAAATTTCGCTCATCCCTTTCTGACCATGAAAAAGAAAAACGCCTTGTATTTCAATTTTAATTTTTGTATTTTAAAACGAAAATCAAATAACCACTCGTTTTCTGTTTTTTAATACCCGTTTCTGAAAGGAAAATCCAATGACCAAAAGATACACGGACCTTCTGCCTTCAGCTTCCTGTCAGCTGACTGTTGTGTCTGTGTGCTCAGATCCCGAGCAGTGATCCGCTCCAGAGTTTCTCTCTCTCTGCTGCCAGACTTCCTGAATCCAGAAGTCAAACTGTGTCACCGCAGAAGCACCCCTGTGTCCTGGTAACAGCATTTGACAGTCACTGCGCTCTCCCTCGCTATCTCTGAGCTTCGGCTGCAGTCACTGCGCTCTCCCTAGCTGTCTCTGAGCTTCGGCTGCAGTCACTGCGCTCTCCCTAGCTGTCTCTGAGCTTCGGCTGCAGTCACTGCACTCTCCCTAGCTGTCTCTGCAGTCACTGCGCTCTCCCTCGCTGTCTCTGAGCTTCGGCTGCAGTCACTGCGCTCTCCCTAGCTGTCTCTGCAGTCACTGCGCTCTCCCTCGCTGTCTCTGAGCTTCGGCTGCAGTCACTGCGCTCTACCTAGCTGTCTCTGCAGTCACTGCGCTCTCCCTCGCTGTCTCTGAGCTTCGGCTGCAGTCACTGCGCTCTCCCTCGCTGTCTCTACAGTCACTGCGCTCTCCCTCGCCGTCTCTGAGCTTCGGCTGCAGTCACTGCGCTCTCCCTTGTTGTCTCTGCAGTCACTGCGCTTTCCCTCACCGTCTCTGAGCTTCGGCTGCAGTCACTGCGCTCTCCCTCGCTGTCTCTGCAGTCACTGCGCTCTCTCTCGCCGTCTCTGAGCTTCGGCTGCAGTCACTGTGGCTTCAGTGTCTGTAAACCCTGAGTTCTAGGCAATCTCAAGTAATTGTGTGGGAATTAAAACAAAGGGAATCTTCATGTTCTCCACTGGGAACTCTGACTGACTCTATCTGTAGATTATTAGCTTAGCCCATTGGAACAAATAGTGATAATAGTTCACATATTACTGCGCTAGTGCTAGCTAGCTAGCTACACAGAGCAAGGTATTACTATGATAAATAAAATAAATGTGTTGTAGGTTAAACCACACAAACTAATACTTGAATGCATGACTCGTCTATTTCAACTTTTTACACAGTAATCAATCAGAAATACAGATTAAAGGTATTGAGTCATCAGATTACAGTCCCAAATCCACTGCTGTTTCCTCACTAATGTGACTCCACTAATGTTCTGTCTGTCTGCAGTTTTGTCATCCAGGTGTGCGTCTACCTGTCTGGTTACAAAATCCCTCAGGAGACAGGTACAACCCTCCACAGGTTAAAAGATGAGATAAGACATGAAACTTATACTGAGGTTGTTCTTTCTGTCTGCCTGCTGATTGGCTGAGGCAGCCCTGGGGGTGGAGCTACAGCTGGATAGGATGAAACAGCCGATGGCGAGACGGACTCTGCTGCTTGGGAGCAACCAGCCGCAGGATACGGTGAATCTGATGGTCCAGAGGACTGTGGGCATGGCCTGCATCAATCACACCGCCTACCTGAGGGTGAGTGACAGAGAAAACACGTAAAGAAGAAACCAGATCATCACACCTGACTGTGTGTGTGTGTGTGTGCAGGCTGAAGAGGAGGTTCGGGATAAGTTGAGTCCGATCTTCATTACAGTCAATATCAGCCTCCTCAACTCTACCCAGCATGCTTTGCTGCACGGACAGACACACGCTGCTGCACAGGTGAGTCAGAGACACCTGCAGTGTTTAATTCAATTCAATTCAATTCAATTTTATTTGTATAGCGCCAATTCATAACAGAAGTTATCTCAGGACACTTTTCAAATAGAGCAGGTCTAGACCGAACTCTTTAAAACATTATTTACAGAGACCCAACAGTACCACCATGAGCAAGACCTTGGAGATAAGGGCAAGGAAAAACTGCCTGTTAAAAGGCAGAAACCTAGGACAGATCCTCCGGCTCTAGGTGGGTGGTCGTCTGTCTCGACCAGTTGGGGTGAGAGAGAAAGAGAGAGAGAGAGAGAGAGAGAGAGAGAGAGAGAGAGACAGAGAGAGAGAGAGCGAGAGACAGACAGGCAGGTGCACAGCAACAACAGTATTGGCAATGGCAATGTAGACAGATAAAAGAGACAAATATATAGTCACATCTTAAGTTAGATAGTGCTAGCTAATAGCTAATATTGTTAGCATAGCTAACATTAGCTAAAGTGAATGTGTGTGTGTGTGTGTGTGTGTGTGTAGACCAGGATCATTCTGGATTGTGGAGACGACAACGTCTGTGTTCCTGATCTGAAACTGAGCGCAGAGCCGTGAGTCAACAACAAACAACAAACAACAACCACACTGCATCATCCATAAACTTTATTAACACGAACAAACCGCTGTGTCAGCCTGTCAGACAGCGTGGTGGTCGGCGGGGATCAGTCCGTGTGGTTGGGGGTGTCGGCAGAGAATGGCGGTGAGGGGGCGTACGAGACCGAACTGGTGGTCCGAATCCCTGAACACACACACTTCCAGAGCAGTCAGGTGACACACACACACACACACACACACGTTGACAATATGTATGTTTATATTTACACAATGTTCAGTGTTTGTTGTCGTCTGCAGGGTGTCAACAGACTTGTGTGTGTTCAGAGAAAACAGAATCAGACTGTTATTGTGACCTGTGACCTCGGCAACCCCATGAGACCAGGACACACAGTAACACACACACACACACACACACACACACACACCCACACCCACACACACACACACACACACAACACACACACACACACACACACACACACA